GCCAAGTTTGGTCACCACTGCCCTATGGACTCTTCAGGCTGCTGCCATTGTACACCACTAAAGCAGATTGATAGGCTGCCTCAGATAATTCACAAAGTAGCTTAGTTTTTACTGGCCACAAAAAAAAAAAAGTGATTCATGAAATGCCTTATTTATTGCTAAGATCATTTGTAGATGTCATAAACATGTATTTATGCTGCAGTAAACAAAGTGGATACACACAAACACTTGTTCCAAGTTCCAAATGACTTTTATACCAAACAAGGCCTTAAAAGTGGTTTTTTTTAATAAACCTACTTTGCCCTAAGAACGCTGTTCTAATGATGGTGATAAATATAGTTTCTAGGTCACGTCTCATTTATTTTCTCTACTTTATGTGTTTACTTCCACTATATTCCCAAATAATCATATAACTTAACAATTCAAATGCCAAATTACCAATAGGGAATAAGAAACAAAAAGCAAGGTAAGGATTAACTAATAATAAAAGGACAAAAATGAACAATAGTTTCCTGTGCTCTAATTAACTTTTTTTCAAAAGAGAGTGCTATCAACTGGGTATTAGTTTTAAAGAATAAGAAGCATCCAGAATGTGGAACAATTGAAGAATCAGTTACTCAAAAGGAATCTACCAGTGCATGTTAAAGATGTTCAAGTGGGTTAGGACTTGGGAGATCAGCAAAGTCCTCATTGCAGTGTAGACATGTTCAACAAATATGATAAGAACAAGGCGCTCCCCCCTTTAATTCATGCAGCATTCAGGAAAGTAAAACATGAAGTGAACTGTGGGGCATTTCTAACAAATAATGGCATGTAATAAGTCTCTTTATTACAAAGAACAGATACTATTAATAAATAAATCACAAACAAACATTGTGGGATATTAGACCAAAACTCTGGTCTCCAGAAAGTGTTGTCTACCACTGGAGTTTTGTTTTTGTTTTTAAAAAATGTATTTATAATGTGCCAGTAAACCCCATATCCTGTCTTGATCAAACAGCAGAAGGTAATTGAGTTCACTCAATCAAGAAGAGAAGAGTTTGGATTTTATATCCCGCTTTATCACTAACCGAAGCGGCTAACATTCTGCCTTCCCTTCCTCCCCCACAGCAAACACTCTGTGAGGTGAGTGAGGCTGAGAGACTTCAGAGAAGTGTGACTGGCCCAGGGTCACCCAGCAGCTGCATGTGGAGGAGCACACTGGAACTAACTGTAATCACCAGATTATGAGCCTACCACTCTTAACCACTACACCACCCTGGATCTCTCAATCAAGTACAGCTCACTGCAGTTCTCTGCAGATTGGTAGGAAACTACAGGGCATCAGAAGGAAAATGCCATCCTCTTTTTCACCCTCCTCTGTTTCACCAGATTCAGACTCTCTTCATGCACTGTTTGTTAGTGTCACCTAAAAATGCAAAATGTAAATGCTCTGTACATGTGCTTCATTCAAGTATAATTTTCCCAGCAGGTAGTGTTGGACTATAGCATCTTCTTGAATGCAAACTTGTGGGGCAAACCTAGAACAAGGGTTGTAGCTCAGTGGTAGAATATTTACTTTGTATGCAGTATGTCCCAGGTTCAATTCCTGGCATCTCCAGGTAGGGCTGGGAGAGGCTTTTGCCTCGAAACCCTGGAGAATGGCTGCTTGTCTGTGTTGGATAGACCTGAGTTAGATGGACCAGCGGCCTGAGTCGCTGTAAGACAGCTTCCTATGTTCCTGTTTTGTGCTGCGTAATGTGAGAAACAGCCCTCAGAGTTTTGTAGAAGCAGAATGGGTTGGACTTCCAGCAGCCAAATAAACAAATAACCCCAGTTGTAAAAAAAAAAAAAATGAAACTCCCACTTGTCATCTTCATACCATTAATTTCCTGTTACAATGGATATTCTAAGCACATGGTTCCTCAGAGTGTGTCCAATAATGTTGTAATATTTTATCTCTCCAGATGTTTCAAGCTCCCCTGCTGTAATATGCTGTACAACAGTACTGAGCTTTGTACTGTTACATCAATGTCAACGTGATTAAGAAAATGGTGATTTGTACCTTTTATACCATTATTATTATTTTTTTTAGTGGTAGCCTGCTGCTCCTTCATATGCTCATAATTATGAACCAATCAGTGTCTCAGGTGCATGGCTACAGTTAACCACAGCTACCAGAGGTGTAGCAGTAGGTTTTGAAGTGAAAGAGCTCCTTATGATAGCCCTCATAGTATGCCCCCACTCAGGAGTGTCCACAGCCATGTCAGTTGTCTTGATGCATACATACCCCAAAAAGCATCGTTACATAGAATGATAATCTCTTATTAGGGCCAGCTGACAATTGTAGAATAGTGAGCTGGCCAAGGATGGGTAGATGCTGGCCAGACAGGTTTAGATTCACATCCCCCATCAGCCATAAATTTCTCTGAGCAATGCTGGGCCAGTCTCTGATTGAGCCTAGCCTACCTTAATAAAGGGAATATTTGCCCGACCAAGCCTATCTTCCAGTTTCCTCACCACCCCAAGCTGACAGCATTGGCAAATACTGTTGACAAAGAAGATGTAATTGATCTCATACCATCAAGCTACACTTCCCTATGGTCCACCTCCCCTACACTACTGTCGGTCACAGTAGAGTCACGTACTTTACCCCCTTCCTTGAATTCATTTATACAATAAATGTTTAAAAAGGTGTATTAAAAGGCAAACCAACAATTTGGTGGCTATGCCGTTTCAGTTTCCCCAATGCATCTGAAACATTTAATACACATAAGTCGAATTATCGATGGGTCTGTGAATTATGGCTGGACCATCTGTAAACAAAGTTCCACAGAGAACTAGTCCAGGTTAAATCTTTTCATGTGTTTGGACCTGCAAGCAGGGTTTTGTTTTGCTTATAGCTTGAACTCAATGGAACTCAGTTCCGGCACCTCTCAGGTGAGCACCATTGCCATGACAAGAGAACAAGGGAGGTGTTCGTGGTGAGTTCTTACATTTGTCCCCTCACACATCTGCCACAGAAGGAGAAGTATTGAGGAGCAGGAGGGGGCAGCCAGGCCATTTATAGCCTCCACTCACTCCTTAACTCTACTGGCAATTGCCAGCTTTATCCAGAGATAAAATGGCTTCTCGCTCTACTTTACCCTCCCCCCCCCCCGCCCACAAAAGCACTGCCATCTGGATCCCTTTTGGGACTACATGGTAGGGAGCAGGGTAAACTAAAAAACATTGTCTGAAGTTCCTCACAGAGAGAATTCCCCTGTGATTGCAGGGGAAATAATATAGATTCAACCAAGTTACATCAAGTATATGACACTTTCAATTTTCTTTAAATCTAAACTGCCTTTTTGTGATATTCTAATTATCTGCTTGAATTATGTTCCAGTTATAGTCAAACTGCTGTAGTTGACAGTACTCTTCTTCTTCTTCTAAAAAAATAGTGACATGTACACACCAATAAACCAGGAGACAGTTTTGCAAATTGACACAGATAACCCAGCCTTTGCCAACATCCTTAGTGGCAGAAAGTGTGTAAACATCCTTTGCAAGAGGCAACACTAGCAGGAGAATTGAGCACCATGGGGGAAAAAATTCAATGCATTTTAATGAGAGCCTGAACTCGATGAAAGAATCATAAAAAAAGATATCCCCCCCCCCCCCGCTAAAACAATGGCAGAGAAGGCCAGAAGAACAGCTTAGCTACTTGTATAACATGTTATGTTATTGAAATGACTGAAACATAAAAAATAATAGAAAAGGGTATGACAATAAATGCCGCATACTAACTTCTACAAGAGTTACAAAGGTGCTTTGGTCATTAATGGGAGACTTGTGGGTGCATTAGCTTATTGGTATTCATTTCAAACAAATCAAATGTATACAGCTAATAATTGTTTTTGGCTCGATTCACATGACCCTATATTACAGCTTGGATTTTAAAGAAAGGGACTCTGACAGAAAGCAAAATTCTTTGTTTTAACCAAATGTATTATATCAGCAGGCCCCACACAGCTTCCATCATAAGCATGTAGGATAAATCAATTTTCCATAGTATTCAACAATGCGCCGCTTGTTTCCAAGACATTCTTCAGCTAAAAAATCTTTGCATCAGCAGGATCCCCCTTCCTTTTTACACATAACCATATTATGAAGAAAAAAGAAATTCTCAAATGCCAATTTGTAGATTCAGAGAAATAGTGTAGGCAAAAAAGATAACTTTTATTGGGTATACAAACTGTAGCAGTTAAAAGAAACACGCTTATGAGCCATAAGGGTCTCTTTTTTTAAAGCACTAGTTTCCCACAAAAACTGGAATGGACTGAGCATTGTTATATATCTCAATTTGACGTCTTGTCATGTTGTTCCTTGGAGGCAGTGCTTTTTTTCTGGGGGTAACACATTTAGTGAATCTTTATACTTCTGTTCATTTACTGTATTTATTTCCCCCA